CAAGAGCATGAGAAAATATCCAGGTAATAGTGAGCCATTAACATAAATGATGTGTGTGCATGATGGTTTGTACATGTTTTGCTTTGCTTTTGTTTTATGAGTAATATGATCAGAAGAATATAGTTCAAATTATCATCTTGATTGTAGTGTACAAAACATCTTAAAGAGAGTTGTCACCACGTGGATTCTGATGACTGCCCACAGAATCCAGATTTGAGGATGCAGAGGATGGAGATGATAAAACAGACAAGGGCTTAAAAGAGACTTAAAAGGAAAAATAAAAAAGAACTCTTAATTGCCTCAGTGGAGGGATAGGGCAAGTCAAACAATAGTTTTTAAGACTAGGGAGGGCCGGGGATTTAGCTCAGTGGTTTTGCGGCCTGCTGTGCAAGTGCAAGGACCCGAGTTCGATCCCCAGCACCAAAAGAAAGGAAAAAGAAAAAGAAAAGACTAGGGAACTGGAAAAATGACAATACAATCAAGAGAAATTGAATTTTGGATTTTCCAGGGATAGCCAGACTTACCCAGTTTGGTAGAAGAATAAAGGGTTTAGTAGAAAAGATGTAAACTAAAAAGAGTTGGCTGGCAACCCCTATAAAATACCCAATAGTCAGGAAAAAGTGTGAGATTGCAAATTGTGTGGACTGGAGGCCTCTTAATCATGACTAGTCATTATTATTCTTTAAGTTCCTCAATGGTTAGCAGGGGGGCCAGACAGGGAGTTTATGCTTAGTAAATGTTGTCTGGCTGGCAGCTGGTTGGCTGGTTTCTTTGAGATTTAGGGAACAACTTCACAAAGAAGACAACCAGGAACGTAAACAAATGTGATCTTTGAGGGTAGGGTAAAAAGAAAGAATTATGAAAACCAAGACTTAAAGAATAAAATACTGAAGAAGCAAGAGGAAAAATGAAGCAGATAAAAGAGACAGGTAAAGTCACTAAGAGAACTAAAGCAAAAAGATGAGGGGAAGAAGGGAAGATAAAGGAAGAGAAGGGGTGGAGAAAGGGGGAGGGGAAAGGGAAAAGAAATGGGAAAGAGAAAAGAAAACCATAAACAAGAATAGACTCAGAAGAGCCATGCAACTTATTCATAATTCTAATGTCATATCTGTAAAAATTCAAATAGAGAATATATGGATAAAGAAATTACAAAGTCACATTTAGTGACCAAAAATGAAAAGCATTAAAATGGTTCCTTAATAAGTTAAAGTAAATAAATGAATAGCTCCTGTCACAGTGATTCATCTATTGCATCTGGGTACTCAATAAATGTTAATTGAATTAAATTAATAACATTTGCACAGCAGTAATAAAAAATTAATTAACTATCTTTCTGTTACTTCGTTTATGCCCACTCGTTCTTGCAATTACTTCTAACCCAAACACAAATTTTCTATTTCACTGATTTTCAAGATATACTTTAATTCTTTTCTAAGAACTACAGATGAGATCCTGATTTTTGTCCTAATTTCTGTTAAAAAATTATTTTCTCTGAGTTAATGTCAAGAACTATGTATAACAACCCAAATATAGTTTCACAAGTTCCTTACTTAATTCCAAAATAGTTTTCTCTGCAGAAGATGTGATACCACTTTTCATGTGCTTCTCTTTTTAGCTTATGCTACTTTATAATACTTTGGATACAATGTCAAGCAATACCATAGCAAGCAAGAATCTAAGGAAATTATTGTTAGTACCCGATCTATAAAAAAGGGAAGATTTCAGTAACATTCACCAAGAATTGTGATTCACTTCAGATGTCAGAATTCTGGGTTGAACAGACTGGTTCTGAAATGTGTGTATGTCAGATGATTTTTTAATGAGCAACAGATAGCTGACACTGGGGAATGAAAAAAAAAATAAAAATATAAACAGAGATACAGAATTAAAATAACTTTATGAATGGCAGCTCAACTTCTCCATAAAATTCTCTGTACAAGCCTAGTGTGCTCCAAATGGTTGCTTAATGTAGCACACCACTTACATTCAAAATGCTATACTTAAAATTGATACAAAATTAAAAAGAGAATCATACATCACTTGGCTGTATACTATATTCTCTGCATGTTCTTACATTCCAGTAACCTCTATCCAACTTTTTTGTTACTGAATTACTTTGTGCAAAAGCAATTTAAATTACATGCAGCCTAAGTGTGATCATTTGAACTGATTGTTAATTAATCTGTTAAGTAAATAGCTGCTGCAATCTCTATGCTCATCAAGGTTTCATTTCTATCAACTCATTCCGAGCTGCTGTTTAACGCATGGAACAAAGCAGCTGCAGCTGAACAGGCAGGATTTTCTGAGTGTGCAAGAAGCTGTTCTACTTTGCAAATACCACTCAGGAAAGTATAGGCCTGTCTAAGTTATTTGTAAGATGGGATTTGGGGACACATCTCAGGATTTAGGGTGCAGAAGGTTTTGGTGATGTAGTCTCAGCGGTTAGGAAACTAAGAATAAGCAAGAAATATATTAAATACTATGAAAGATAACAACTAAGCTGATGGGATGCACTAGCCCTAGGTTTGAATATCAGTTCTAACATTGACCAAAGAAGAATCTTTGGGAAACTTATCTAGATTAGTGCTCTAGGCTTTGATTAGTCTCATTCATCTGTTAACTGGAGATATACCAATTCTAACTTTTCCTTTCTGTTTAAGGAAGTGAATGGTATGTACATCCTATAGTCTTTGGGATGCTTATGTTCAACAAAGTATATAAGTGGCAGTAGAACTGGGATTAAAGTACATGCAGTGTGTGTGTTTTGTGAGTGTGTGTGTGTGTGTGTGTGTGTAAAGTAGTGGTTTATGTCTACTTTGTGATTATGTCCCACAGGAGAAATATAACAATGCCTACAGATGTCACAATGTATGGGGACAGGTGCTCTTGGTGTCCAGTGGGTAAAGGACAGGGATACAGCTAAACATCCTACAGTTTCCCCAGGACCACAACAAGAAAAAATTACCTGGCCAAAATACTGCTCTAAGTGGTCTAAGGCATTTTTTTCACTCTTTGTGATATTAGCTGATTACTGGATGCTTTGATATTCAAGTAAAGAAAAGTAGCTACTATATTCATTATCATCACTGTATCATTAATTTGGTGAATCTCTCTTAGGTTAAAAAAAAAGCATTTTCTCAATCTATTGAGCCAATTCTATTCAATATCCAATAGTACATTAATCACTATCAACAATGGATGTTTTCTTGAACTGCTATTTTTGCCAACCTCTTTTAGGGTAGATTAAACCCTAACCAAGAGACTTAAAGCCAGAAGCATACGGGAAAGGGATAAAATTAAACACTGCTGAAAACCAAGGCTGTTTGGAAAATTAGAAAGAAATAATAAATGGCCTGAGATGTCTATGTGTAGCAGATTGCTAAGTCTGGTGCCAGTTCAGAACCTTCAGAGAGCAACCTTCCCATGACTAGTTTCTGAGAATCACTGACTCACAAGTCTGCAGGACATTCTCGCCTTTCCACCACTCTCATGAGTAGGAGGCACCTAGGGTTCCTAAACTTGTCTGCATTTTGAAGTCACCTGGGGTCCTTCAAAAATCCTCTAAGAACTGTGATTTTTAATTAGTCTGCTGGGGAAGAAAGTGCCTGAACCCTTAAAATTCCAAATTTTTTAATTTTTCAGGTGATTCTACTCTCTAGAAAAGTCTGAGAACCATTGCCCTATGATCAAACAGAGATATTCACTTGGCCCAAATGCAGAAGCAACTCTAGAATAGACAAGGAAAGTGGACTTAGCAAAATACATTTCTTATACAGAGCTGTATAAACATGGTAAAACCAAACCAGGTTGTCAATCATATTATTTATTTCATTCAATGAGGATTATTGAATCAGCCAACCAGTGGGTAGCTATGGGAATACAATTCCCCAGAACACATCTTTACCTCCACCCAATAATGCTGCCAAATCACCAGGACTGTTGCCTATGTACCTCTTAAAATGTCCCTGGGAATCAGCCTACCCACATTTTTGAGAATACCTTCTTCACTTTCCTCTTTTCCTCATTTTAAGACTCTACTTATTGGATAAGTCATAAAATAAGTACAACCCCATTTAGTCTGGTCCTCTCCCTAACAAGATTTCATGGGATGCTTCTCTCATACACTCCTAAGTACTGCAACTTATGCAGTGACTTCTTTGCTAACTTGTTTGATGCTTAAGAAGGTCAGGAACCATTCCTGTTTCAGTCACCACTGCACCCCAATGCCCAGTGCCTATTACTAACAGACAGCCAAATATTATGTGGCATGCAGGAATGAATATAGGAGCTCAAAATACATGAATTACGTGGTTCTCCTCAGCATTCCCTATGCCTCTTCAAACCAGTTATGGCCAGGGACTTTGCCAGAAGTTTTCTGAACAACTCTAACAATTGTGCCACATGATTACATAGAATAAAGCATGTTCCTAAGAAGTACATCCCCAATGCCAAATAGGCAGCTACCTGAGCCTGAGAAACAGGTAGCAACTAAGTATCATTGTGGCAGAAGTTGGAATGAGTTTATAGACTATTCATCTATATCTACTTTTTCTCATAAAGTGAAGGAAAATGATTTTTGTAGAAACAAAAAAAAAGTGATTTGATTGATATCATGTAAATTACTCAGCAGTACAGCCCAGTAATAAGACCTCTTTCCTGCTTCTCAGATCCATGCTACACTAGGACAGAACGTGGACAACATACTATGAGATATTTTTGATCCAAGTGAATGAATTCCTTGATTCTCCCCACCCATCATCAAAAAAACTAGTAAAAATGTATATTACAGATTAATATTATAGACAAAACTTGTAACATGAAAATTAAACTCTTCTTATATTTCTTCATAATTATTCTGCTCAATAGCGCTTCATTCTTTTTAATAAGATTTTATTTTTTATCAAATCTAGAATGTGAATTTTTCTGTGAATTTACATTCTTAGATCACTAGATAAACTATATTGTATTTGTGTATGTGTGTTTTCCTTTTTTATCTAGATATGCAACTCACAAATGAAAAGCATGCAGACGACAAACCCATTAATGCTATCATTATAAATTCAGTATCTGAATTCAATATCACAGATGGACCAGCCAAGGAAACCCCCAATGAGAAAAAACTGTCAGAATCCAGCACATCACTGTCCTCCCTTGAAGAATGCCAAATGAAATTTTCCTACCTCCAAACTGATACTTCAGTTCATCAGAGAGACACTGATGGTATGTTTCTCAGAATACAACCCATCTCTAAATAAAGCTCCCCAACCCCCAGCCCCTGTAAAATCACCACATATGCTGTTAGGAAAAAAAAGACTTTATGAATATTAAACAGGATGACTTCCATTTGAAAACCCTGGTGAATGACACATGTCAAGGTCACTTTGCAGTTATGAGGTGCTTGGCAGATTGTTTGCTCTCAAAACAGGGAATCAGAAGCAATGTGTTTTAAATAGCTTGAGTAGGGAGGGCATAATCATTCTTGTATGGAGCTGTGAAGCAGATAAAGAAATGTGACAAACTTCCTACTCTTCTTAGATATGGAACTATTCAGCTTGTGGCTCTAGGAAGACAGAAGAAGAAAGAGTAGAACTGTATTAAAATACTGGACTACAGGAATAGAGACTATCTAAAATATCAAGATTCTTTCATCAGTAATCTCTGAAAAAGGGTTGGTTTCTCTAGGTAGTATCACTTTCTAGGCATTCTGATGAGTGCAAATCAAGACCAAACTATGCTGTATATGACATAAAGAGACACTCCAAAGGGGATAGGGGAAGTGGGAGGGAAAGGGGAAAGGAAAGAAGGGAAAGGAAAACTTATGGGAAAAGGAAAAAATGGTAACAAAGTCTTTGTAAATAGGGAAGGGTGGAGGTGGTGAAGGAAGGACAGGGAATAGGGAAAAAATAGGAACCAAGATACGTTATGTACAGGTACAAAAACCCAATGATAAATGTAAATGTATTGTATACCTAAAATGTGCCAATAAAAGAATTTAAACAAAAAAGAGAGAGAGAGACACTCCATTTGCAAAGCCAATTTCAAATTGACTTGGTGCTAAACAATCATAATCAAGCTTAAAACTGTGGACTACACACTATGCCATATAAAATGTAACTCAGTAACTGTGCAATGACCTTTATGGGAAATATAAGCCACTCAAGAGTTTTGTAACATTCAATATACACATTTGCATTTAAAGAAGTCCTGGAGTTTGTGAAAGGAAAATGTAACAGGATATTATTGTTCCTGATCTGAATTTCAATTCACATTTGATTTTGAAAATAAGAGAAAAAATTAAATAAACTTTATATAAAAGCACCTTTGTGGTCATATTAGTTTGGCTATTGCCTCTGAAGTTAAGTTTTATAACAATAACTGTACAAGTTTCATTTTTGTCAGTGGCATTTTAGCCATTTTAGAATCTCAATCTCTCAGTTATATACTAGGGCTAATAACACACCATGGGGCATTCTGAGAATCAAATGAAATAACAAGTATAAAGCACCTAGTACAGAAATCAATTGGCACATAGTAGAAACTAAATTTTAGGTTATTCTGTGACTAAAATCTTAGAAAGGAAGGAGAGTGAAGTCTTCTAACATGCTGTAAGTGTTTCATGTGCAAATCTTTCCATGGTTGTTGTAGATTAGAAACTACAGACTTGATTGCCTACAGTTTCTGGTAGAGAATGTGAATAATGAAGTAAACTGGAAATGAACAACAGAGACTGGTGAGGACTGAAGAGTGTGTTTCTTAGGGTCACTGCTTTTACCTAGCTCCACCAGACTGTTGCCAGAGGAAATACAGGCTCAGGGTTGCCTCTTGAAGTTTTCCAAGAATAGCCAGAGGTTAGGATTGTAATATGAAATTTCTAAAATTTTCATGGTTGATAACTCATTCTATTTTTTGTATCGAGCCCAAGACACTCCCAACAATGAATGTATCTTTGGGCTACCATTGGCCTGTACACGACAGCCCTGATGAAGGATGATTCTCAAATTACTAGCTTTTGTACAGATTAATGCCAAAAACAAGTAATGAAGAAGAGTTCTCTGCAAAAGTATTCTGACACTATAGCATTTCATTAGACGATGCTAGTGATGCAGAGCTGTTGCTCATCTTGTGTATCGGTTAATGACCCCAGAATTGGGAATTTCTGTTGTATGTATCCATAGAGAAAAACACAATGTGCCCAAGAATTGCTCCAATCTATCCTATCAGGGATTCTCGGAGAAGAAGAAGGGCAGGCCAACTAGCATGATATCTAAACCTTTGTGTTCTCAGGGAAGGGTCAAAATGACTACTCCATTAAAATACTCAAGAGACTCATGCCAAAAAAAATAACACATTACTCAGTTAAAAAGCACAAAGGAGCAAACAGTAAAATTAGGTTGTTTTCTAAAGGGCGGGACTGAGGCCAGTATAACTCAGGAAGTTCAGGTTTTAAACTGATGGCATAGGTAAGAAACCAACATTCCTTGCTCCCTTCATGACAATATCCCCAGTGAGGGAAGAGCTTTTGGTACCTGAGAAAAAGACAGAGTAGAAAACCCAAGTAAGAACCACAAATAGTGATACAAAATTCTCATTATCTATACTAAACAGCAAAGATAGAGGAAATCAAGAGTTAAATCAGCCTTGCTCCATTTTAGAGAATTTTTGATAGTAATTAATTTAAGGATGCAGAAATTGAGAACTAGGGTCATTGTTCATACTGAGATAAATACAGAAATATCTTTCAGGAACAGCAGGGAAAACAGAAGGGAAAAGAGAAGACTATATCCACTTTCATGTAGTTTGTGGTTAATTTATCTTCAAATGTATAAATGAGTGCATAGGAGTGGATGCTTAATTGCTAATATCTATTATTTATATACATTGCCCCACTTAAAACAGGATAGAAAAGCCTCACACATGCAGATTTTGTAAAATGTGTTGCATCCATTAGCACAGTTCATGGTGTGTGCTCTGATGGGAATTTAAAAGGATCTTTACTGCACATCACACACTATGTGCTGCAACATTATTATTAAATTGTGGTTCATCATGTGTGATCCCGTTCCCACTAAAATGGAAAAAGTCCAAAGAACCGTCTCCACTTGCTTCTGTTTCTATGCTCTTCTGATTGCAAAAGCATTCCTGGGGATTTAAAAAAATCAAGATACACATGATATCACAAAATAAATTCCTTAAAAATAACCCTGAGAATATGCCTAATTGATGTATAATTTTGAATTTGAGACATCTCATCCAGGTGGAAAAGGAAAATCATAAATACACGATACCTCAAAAGAATAGTCTTAATTACACCATGGACTACTGAATAAAATGATTACATTTTCTACACTGTAAATTTCATACAATTAAATGCAGTGGTGTCACCTTATAAAATGTTTCAATTTTATAATTATTTCAGTTCATTTGCTCAGAAAAAAACATAAGCACAAATTTACTAAGTATCACCCAAATCTAGTCATTCTGGTTTTAAAGAACTGACTTGGATGTTAGTTGTGCTTGTCTGAACTTAAATAGATTTTGACATATTTAAACAGCTATTAAAATTGATAACATCAGGGATGATACTTCATCTAGAGAAAGGCATTCAGTCACACTTTATTTATTCCCATTCTACATCACAGACATATTTTTAAGAATTTAATGTTTGGGAAGTGGGAAACAATTTTTATACTTGTGAACCAAAAACTTTTAGTAATCAGTCAGTCATTGAGTCATGAAGCTCATGATGATGTTAACTTCTCCAGACAGCACATGAATGCCTTAGAAGACTGGGTTTGGGCCAGGTTCATCTGGACTTTTGTTTCCTTGGTTTGTTTGGTTTGCAGTACTAGAGAAAGAATCCAGGACCTTTGCACTGAGCTACATTCCCAGTGCTTTTTATTTTAAGACAGCGTTTCACAAAGTTGATAAGTTGCCCAGGTGGGGGTCAAACTTGTGATCTTCCTGCCTCAGCCTCTCAGAGGCCTATACCACCACATTCAGCTCTGACTTCTTTTTATTTAATGTTTATCTTATTTTGTTTCAGGGGGAAATTGTTAGCTATCTAGGATTACTGCTGCAAGAACCATATGTACTACTTTAGATAATGATCCCAAAGGTACCAGAGAGTATGTTTCTAAAGTTGAATGATGTTTCAGGAGCTACATTTGGCAGCTATAGACACCTCTTGTCTCTCTTCCTCCTAATCATGAGTAGGCATCATGGTAATAACCCCAAAAAACTGGAGGATTGGAGATGCTCAAGGAATACAGAATTGTGACCATGAGGCTAACCTCAGGTACATTTGTGGAATTTTCTTGCATTGTAATCTATTCTATCATAATTAAACATGATTCTTTCTCATTAGACAGATTCTCCCTGTTAATTAGCCAATTAGATGTTATTTAGCACCTCTGGAAGCTGCATTGATTCTTCAGTGTCATTAGGGTAGCATCACTTAGCACATTACCATTTTAGTATCCTAAAAGTACCCCAGGAGTATAAAAAGAAAATGAAGCAACCCTAGGGAATTTTGTCCTAGCCTCTTGATCATAGGCAAATATCACTTTGGGTTCAGTGGGATCCAGATCTCCAATCCATCTTAAACCACCTTTATGCCAGGTATAATAAGTGGAAAAGCCAGATGTACACTCTGACATCAGAGATTAGAGCCAATTCCAGGGTGCCAGGTACCCAACAGAGGGCACTTCCTGTGTAAGGAATTTGTCATAAAGGTGCTAGAAGAGCTGAAAAGCCAAACTACCCTTAACAGTGAGGCAACCTAGAACTTCGCAACCATAAGAAGAGTCTATCCTGCTTCCCCATATTCTTCCAGAGCACAAATAGACTGCTGCTACTGGTACTGGCTTTAAACCACTAGCCAGTAAACAGATCTAGACAGATCACCAGGTACTGTCATTATTCAGAGCCATAGGGAAAGGGCTGTCCAGGCATATAAATAGGAGAAGATCCTGGACACTGCGTAAGAGGAGGAAGACATTAGGAGAAGCAGCCTGAGCTTCCCAGCCTCCTGGTTCCTGTTGCTAGCTCCTACTGGATCAATCCAGCCAAAAACCACTAAGGGAATCTGAAGACTGTCATCCTCCAGAATCCAGAGCAGTGCAGGGCCAGAGCAGGGAAGGTCTTGTACCATACTCAAAACTGACAAGAAGAGAGTATAAGTGTGTTGCCGCAGGCCAGCTTCCTTATTCAAAGGTCTGGATGAGACAGTCTGGGTCCAAGTTACAGTTCTACCACTTGCTGTGTTTCTTGGGGTATGCCTCTTCAACTCTGAGCTGCAGTCTCATCTATAAATAGGAATGATCAGTATCACTGAGCATCATTTTGAGGCTTGTATGAGAGGCACATGGTATAGGGGACTGCATGATGGCTTTGGGTTAGTTAGAACACAGAGATCAGTAGAACAGAGGGTGTTTGGAACCAGGCTTTGGATCCAGAAAGAATTAGATGTGAATTACTGCTCTACCACTTTATGGTTGGGAGGACTTGGGACACTTGGTGACAGGCTCTGAACCCTAGTATTTCATCTAAAAATGGGGATCACAATACATATTCACCTCTTAGAGGCAATCACTGATTTATTCATTCAGCAAGAGATATGGCTTTCTACCTCCTGTAACTTAGATTATAATGGAGGAGAAACTAGCAAACTAGGTAAGTTAATGCCATCCTGTGGTCCATGTTATGAAGAAGAAAAATAAAGCAGGGTGCTGTGAGAATTTCAGCAATGATATGATTCAGAGGGAAGGTGTTTTAAACAAAAGACCAAAATGTTTCAATAGGAGTTGGGTGAAGCTGGGGAGATGTGCAATACAAGCAGAAGGTGCAATATATGCATAGGTTGTGAGACAGAGTTATTCCAAATACTGAAATTCAGCCAGTGCAACTGTAGTACAACAAGGAACAAAGTGGGTCCAGAAGTCAGAAAAAGAGGCAAGAGCCAAGGCATAAAGGGGGCAGTAGGCTAGACCAAGGAATCAAGACTAGAGGGGAAAATGAATCATTCTAATTTAAGATTAAAAATATCACAAGAACCAGTGAAATGGAAGTAGGCTCATGTGGTCTCAGAACGTCCTCAACAGGAGGCTCTTGCTGTGGTCCTGACATCAGCCAATGGGAATCAGAACCAAGGTGGCTCTGCAGGTGGATCCAAGCTTGAGGTAGAATCTACAGGACACACTGATGAACTAGATGGGGAGGGTGATGAGAAAAAGGAAAGGGACAAAAACTGATTCTCAGGTGTCCAGTGAACGAATTTGTGTGTCCAGGAGCCACTCATAAGGGAAAACTAGAGGACTGACAAGTGTGTGGGAAAAAGGAGAAGGTGTCAAGTCCAATTTAGCCTTGGTGAGATGCTTTGAAGGTAGTGCAGAAGAGACATGAAGTAGGTAACTGGATGCACGCAGTACCCTTTGGGATGGGTCAAGAGAAGGGATGCTAATCGTGGAACATCATGTTTATTAAACATTATAGCCCTGGGAATCAGTTCAGGCAAACGTATTCAGTCAGGAGGAGGGGAAGTCCAATGCTCTTTTCAAATAGTTACAGATTTTCCTCTGAACTGCTTCTGTTACTTTTGAGCAAACAAAAATTAGCCATATACAAAACAATTTTGCCTGCTCACGTAGATTTATTTAATACACCTTTTAAGAAAAGTATGGAACACACTTGAAAGTTTGGAAAAATCTGTTTTCAATTCATTAATGTGACCATGTTCTTTTGGGCAAGAGGCTCTGCCTTTTATAACCAAATAAAAAGGACTGACTTAGAAACAGAAAAGAGGTGGGGCCTCTATTCTTAAGTGCAAAATAGAGAGGTGCAGGGTAGCAAATGCCAATTTGGCCAAAGGATTAGGCCAAAATCTTTTTCTTCCTTGTAAATAAAATCTGCAGTATACATCCGAAGCAGAGACCTCCAGAGTCTGCCAACTTGAGATGCTGGCAAGTGCAATTGAATTAAAAGGTTATGTGCCCTAAGGAAATTATAAGACCATTTTACAAAAAGGCTCTTCACACTCTAGTGAGAAATACCAGCTCCTATCCCTATACTCACCCTGCACCCTATCCTACTTATCTCCAAATGAAACTTTCAGCCTTGCATGTATAAAGGACAGGACCCAGTAGGTTCATTTTTATATGGTCATAAGCCTCAGTTTCTTGAGCCCCTAGCCTAAGGAATCACAGAGTATTGGTTTGGAATTATTGTCTACTGAGAACTTCTCTTTGCCAAGGGCTGCTATAGTAGCAGTCTTGGCACTGGTAAAACTCGATGAGGTTGTATGCCCCACGTTTTTGACCACCAACATGCCCTCTTCAGAAAAGGCTAGGCAAAAATACAGTCTATGTACTATTACTAACTTACTCCTGAATTTTTGTGGGTGGTTTGTGGTGACTTAGGAGATATGAGTGAGTTGGCCATATGCTGGAAGCTGGCGTTAAGTGAGTAAAAATACAACCAGTCTGGCAAAGAGATGAGTATGTACCCCACAGAGGCATTATGAAGCATGCTGCCTAAACTATAAATACTGAGCAATGACCACAGCACCTGCAACAATATATGGCAATTAATGTAGTCATAAAGTCATGGCATATATTTTTTAACCATGATCTTAGCGGGAAGAAAGAGAGGGAGACACACGGGGAAGGGAAAAGAAAAGAAGATTTTTCTTTACCTAAATTCAGGATTCACTTCAGAACTTTATAGTGTTTTTTGATAAATTAAAAGTTTTCTTTAAAACTATTTTTTCCCCTGGGTACATTTTGAGATTTTCCTTTCTTTTAAAGATTATCAAGCATGTGAACAATGAAAGAAAAAATATTTTCTGGAAAATATTGTTGGAAGAAAGTGAATGGGGCTAGAAGATCACTCAGACTGTAGCATATGATGTAAAGGGGAAAACTCTGTATCCTTGCACAGTCTGCATTGACTGAAGACTGAAAACTAAAATAATTAGCATCCTTATTGGGAAAAAATAGATCCTTATGAAAGGCAAACTTTGATCAATTGATAAGCCCATCTGGAGGGGAAATTTTCTTCCAATTCATGATAGAATGTTACTTTCAACCATCAACAATCTTTCAGATCACTAATTTTAATTAATTGGATGACACATCACTGGGCATAATCAATAAGGTTGAACACTTACCTATACTTTTACAAAAACACTCATATAGCTTTGAGACTTTTTAAACTTGAAAATAAGTTATAATTTTAATAGGAGAACTGCTACATCTTCTAACTAATTCCCTTTATAGAAGCAAAAATATATAATAATCTATAACCCATCACAGCTGTTTGGCTAGAATTACCAATTACCTTCAATGCCTTTGAGATACTTTCCAGCTTTTTATAAGTCTGCATAGTAAAGTTTTAAACCAATTTTCTTAAAGAGGACTGATAAGATTTAAAACCTTTTAGGCATATGATGACGTATTTCACTTAAACAACTTGAATATAAAATCAAGGCTTTGCATAACTAGAGGAAAATGGAGACAGGAATTAAAAATAAAACAACCCAAAAAGCTGTGATTATTTTAAAAAGCACTTATATTAAGTTTTCAAATGTACTTTTCGCTTACATTTGAACATGGGTGTGGTAGTTTTGTGAGAATCAGTCAAATAACAAAGCCTGGTAACAAGGACATCTGTAGTCTCTCCTTGTCCCCAACTCTAATTGCTCCTGCAGACCCTGCACTTGGGGAGGCCTTGCTATTTTTCAGACAGTTGCTAGGTTTTCAGATAGGCAGATAATTGTGTGTCTTCCCTGCACCTCTATGAGCAAAGTAAATAAAAGGGTTTAGAAAAGTGTCAGCACTTTAAGTAACTAGATTACATGGAATCGATAGGAAATACTAAGGAAGTTAATAAAGCAATTACTTAAGGGGAGATAGTGGTGGCATGGGGTAGGGAAGCTTGAAAGACTAACAGAGTACATTACCCCTAATGTGGATAAATAATTAAGAACTGGCTATAAAGTCATCAGTACAGCTCCACACCTGCATGCTCCCATGGATGGCCCCTCATATGTTACTATTAATATTCTTTCTTCTTCATTTTACTATATTTTTGCTCATGAATAATTATTTTTAATTGTATGCATTTCATGGGGCAATATGTGATAATTCCATACACGTATGAAATGTATAATGGTCAGATCAGGGCAGTTAACAATTCCACTTCTTTAAACATTTTTTTTAACTGGTTAACACATCATAATTGCTTCTTCTTCTTTATGCAGAGGAATGTGCATCCTTGATCCTCACTTGTCTGTTCTGCCAGTTTTGGGACTGTCTCCTGATGCTCCCTGACACATGTGAAGCCATGTGTGTCAACCTGTGCTGCCCCTCTCACAGGTATCACCACACCTCGGATGAGAGCCACTCGCGCAATGACTGCAGCTGCAACTGTGACATGGACTGCAGTCTTTTTGAATCATGCCATGAGACCAGTGAGTGCCTGGAGCTGGCCATGGAGATTTCAGAAATCTGTTACCACTAGCATGATGAAGGAACCACTCCTCACAGTCCTTTTAGCCACAGTGGGAAATTCCACTACAACAAGACCGAGATTTCCATGTGCCAAAATGCAAGGACTGTACATACTTCTTGGATGCTCTAGGCCATTGTATTCTGCACCTGTCTGGGAAAGTTAGCATTGTCAACTCAGTGATTTCACTCCAAATCTCACAACCGCATGGCTCACTGAAAAATAAGATTCTTGATCACACATGATGAACAAATCTTAAATACCTCTTAAATGCCATAGGTACAAGATGTTTCTTGACTATAAAACAGCATGCTAAACCACTCTGTATTCTTGAATTCATCAGCTTGCATCAAGGATTCAACCTCATTCACAAATTCAGGCCAAATTAATGCTTTGTTTTAGAATTGACATATATTAGCTCATCTTTCTAATGGACTCATGAATAAACATTATGCATTGTTGATTACTATTAATAATGTATTGTATAACATCATTTTGTAATTAAAATTTTATTTAGACAGTCTCTTAAAATTCACTTAAATGTACAGTTTGGGTAGGAAAGGGAATAGGATGAATTAGAAACCATGTTCCTGTAATTACAACAGATGTCGAGTACTGGTATACAACAGATGTCTCGAAAACATCTCCAGTGAATACTGGTATACTTTAAAAGATTACTATAATTCTCAACTGTATTATTATATGTCTATGACTATGTCATAACAGGTTATACATATTCTTAATCTCTTACAGAAAGGCTCTTTATTCTAATAAGCATAAACGGGAATAATGTGCAAGTTTCAAGAAAATGATCTCTGACAATTCTTCATTTTCCTCATTTCTATTTGTCAGGTACATTAAGCAACAGGATATTAAAACAGGAATCAGTTCATTTTACTAAACTATTATTTGTGTAGACATCTAAAATAAATACATACACAGGTTCTTATTCAGTTCCAAATTTTCTAATACAGAATGTTCTTCGGAAATCACATTCTTAATTTTTTTCTAATAAAAAGTAATTAATAATTAACATTAAGCACTTCTCTGTACTTATGATATCTTTTTTAAAAAGATGTGATATGAGCTGTAAAATGATTTTCAATTTGAACAAATTAAAACAACAGCTCACATAGAAAACATATCTAGGCTGAAGCTACTTTGGAATTTTATTTTCTATAGGCATGATTCTATAGCTACAAGGGAAATATGCTCATTAATTTGTGTTTATGTCTTCCCACAGAGATAACTTGTATATTAACTAAATATAAACAGCAGCATGTATCATTAACCAAACCTAGAACAGAAAAGAAAAGGGAGAGTTGAGACAGATTTTTGTGATTTAGTAAAAACAATAACAACAAACTCCAAAATACCAGTTTTATCCTACCTTGGGTAATTTCAGGCCAAAACATGTGTTTTATTTCTGTAGTAAACTGGGACATTTTTCTAATCTGCAAGAAATTCCCCTAACATTGAAAACTATAAATCTTGAAAGTTTTAATGCTGCCTCTAGCAGGTATTTAGCTGCTCTTGACTTGTTACTGACAGCCTAGTGCAACCATGGTTAATGCCAGCTTCGTTCCTTTTGACTATCATGTTGTGCCTCCCACCTCTCCTGAAACACTGTATCCTCTCTGCCTTTTGGATGCTCAAGCTCTATATTCTGCGCAAAGAACTTACAGACTAAAAAAAAAAAAAAAAAAAATCTGTTGAACAGGAAAGGAAGCTAAGGCCATTCTTATCCAGTGTCCTCTTACTTCACAAGAGGAAAAGGAGGCCCCAGTCAGTGACCTGCCCAAGACCCTATCCCAAAAATATGATACCTGCTGTCATTGATCAGACCAGGCCATATATGTAGTGAATATTTTGATGATCAGCCCCCTATTCCTTCTAATTTACATATGCTATCAAATTGAGCAAAAACTGTGCATTTCAAATTTGAATTGAATGCTCGTCAATTACAGACATAAAAATCACCAGGTCTCATTTCATACTGTGGTCAGAATACTCCAAGATCTTTCTGTGGCCTTGCTTTCCATGGTTTGTTAACTTGCTCCTCACTTTCAGAATTCACCATGCTATAGCAGAAAGGGTCGGTTATATAAAGTGTGAAATTTCTTTTCTTTATAACCAATAATAAAACATCATCCTTTTTGCAAACTGAATGGCCGTTTCAATTGAATTCTTACACAATAAAACATACACAGCTGGGAACATACAATCACATGGGAAAGACAGATCAAAAAAGGATGTGGTTATTGATTAAATACAAATATCATGATCTGAGAAGGCTCGGGTGTTTTATGCAGTGATGAAGGCCTGTGATTACAAATAAAGATAATGTTGTACTTTAAGGTGGGGCTGCTTGGTGAATGGAGCACTCTGATTTAAAAAACCTGCTAGAATAAAAGAAAGTTGAGAACATACAAGCTTTATAAAGAATGGAGGGCAGACATTTTTTCCTCAGAGCAATATACCCATATAGTTACACTGTCTTTGCTCAATGGATTTTTACAAAACCATTTTATCTCTCAAAGCCAACAAAATAGGTAAAGTGATGTAGAAACAAAGTTACATTTAACTTGCCAATGAAATCTTCCCACTACATGAGCTGATAGGATTACCAAATTAATTACCAATGGTGGACAATCAAAGTTAATAGCGCTTGGGAAATCACCACAGTCCCCCTCCCCCAAGGGAGTAAGAACATATATTCACGCAAGGAAACTTTACAAACAGGAAACATTATATGAGCGCGTTTCATCATTTTTCTTCAAGGATAAATATGTAGGTGGAAAACGGCTGAAGGGCAGATTTCATTGCCCAATGCGTTTCTTGCCCTATAAAATGGAGGAAAAGAATAATATGTACTGTGATGGTCAGCTTCCTGTCACTACAGTATAGCAAATACCTGAGATAGTCAACTTATAAGAGGAAAACAATTATCTTGGCTCAAGTTTTGGAGGTTTGTAGTTCATCATCTGTTTGCCCCGTTGCTTTTTGGACCTATGGAAAGGCAGTGCATCATGGCAGAGAGCACAGGGTGGAATAAAGTCACTTCACAGATGAGAACTAAAGTAAGGAATGAAGATGGAACCCGGGTCTCACAGTCCCTTTCAAGGGAACACCCTCAGTGAGGAGACCTCCCCTATGGCTCCACCTTTTAAAGGTACAAACACCTCTCAATAGCACCACGCTGGAGACCAAGCCTTTAACACATGGCCCTTGAAGGACATTCAAAATCCAAAGAAATGCAACTCACAGTTAAATAAGGTATTTTGACTACGAGTGTTTTGCCCATCAAATGCTAAATTTATTCAGGCCATAGGAATTAATGGCTTCAGATGAAATGTAAACATTTGGTTTAACTGTTGGATTTTCTCTGAAGAGATCTGAGTAAAAGCCATATATTAGCCATATGTAGTTTCATGTTTACTGTGTGGAAAGGCCAGGGAATAGGGAATTAGATGATTTTCTAGGAAATAAAAAGAGCAGGGGCCTAGAATGGTATTATCGGGCTCCTTGAAGAGAGTACTAGAGAGCTTCTCACAGTACAGGGAAGGAGCTAGGATGGAGGCTGGGGGTGGGGGGTGCGGAGCAGAACTTGCGTCATTATTTGGATGAAAGTGATCCCTTCTCATCTACTATCTTAATATGTTGTACAGCTTTGCCTTTGCCACTACTTCTATATCAGTGGTTCTCAACTGATGTTGGTCCCTTTCCCCATTCTGCAAAACCTGGAAACACAATTGGTTATCACAATGAAGAGGAGATGGTTATAATTAAATAGAAGCCACAGATGTTTCTCAATATCCTACCATGAACAGAACAACATACCACAATAGAGAAATATCCAAATATCAATCATGTAAAATTGAAAAGACCCAACTCAGAAGCCTTTTCATCACCAAATTTGCCTTTAAAACTATTGAAAACAAAGTGGTCAGATTAAAATATAGGATGCCCAGTCAACCTTGAATTTAGGAAAACAACAAATAATATCTTAGTGTAAGTATGAGGTATGATTGAAAAATATGTGGATGGGGCCAGGGATTTAGCTCAGTGTTTCCGCCGCCTGCCTTGCAAGCTCAAGGTCCCGTGTTTGATCCCCAGTACCAAAAAATATATATATATATATATATATAGAGAGAGAGAGAGAGAGAGAGAGAGAGAGAGATGTTTAAATTTTTTTAATTCATTACAATAAAAGACATTATCATTAATACCCCACAAAATACCCACTTGTGCTTTAAACGCACTCATCCCATCATTCTTGAGACTTTCTGGAAGATCTCTTTCCTGTCTTTAGTTGCATTGTCATGGCTGCCTCCATGTCTTGAATTGATTCAAAATGTCTATTGTTTGTCATCATTGTGACTTTGTGGAAGAGCCAGGAGCTGTAGGTACCAGATCCAGTGGATAAAGTCAATGAGGACACAGTAATGTTTTTATGTGGCTGGCTTTTTGCTAGATGACACTGCACAGCAGTGAATTTTGGTCTAAAGATAAGCTCTGGAGCATTTTCCTTCCTGTCCCAGCTCACACTGGGCTATTGTCTTGAACTAGGCCAGCCAAATTTCTGTCTTCTGCTTCACATCTCCATTAGCACCTTAGGTCCTCTGTCAAAGACTATCTCTAGTCAAGAGGTAAGAACTTGGAAGAGTTTGGATCATAAGTATCTTCTAAAGGCTCATGTATTAAAGACTTGTTCCAATCTTGCACTCTGAGGAGGTGGTGGAATTTGAGGAGTGGAGCCTACTGAGAGCTCCTTGGGTCATTAGGGGTGTGTCCTCAAAAGGGATAGCGGGACCTTGGTCTGCTCCTCTCCCATTTACTTACCAGCCATGAGCTGCGCAGTTTTATTCTGCAATGTACTCCCCTAGGCCCAAAGCAATGGGCCAACCAATAATTACTGGAACCTAGAAAATTGTGAGCCAAAATAAAACTTTTTATAATTTGATTATTCCAGGTATTTATTACAGTGATGAGATCTGACTAGCACAGAAGAA